TAAAATTTAGTATTGTATTTTTTTTTTTTTTTTTTAATTTAAAATCTTTCTTTCTTTTTCTTTTTAACCTTATGATATTTGATTCTTGGGATTTCAAAAATAAAATATTTGGCTAAAATATGAATAACATTTTAAGAAACCAAATGTAGGATAAAATTGTGTAAAGCAATGGGCACAATGATAAAACTGTTTAAAGCAGCGTATGCAAGTCATCCTAAGTTAAAATGTCGGTTATACATCTCTCTTATTTTTATATATACTTTTTGAACGGAACATTGAAAGGCGTGTTAACTGTGCTTTACTGTAATTTCTGTTTTAATATACACAGTTTTCAAACGCATCGTAGTCTGGGTTACAAAGAAACGCAATTCAAATAAATAAAATCAAGTTCTGGAAAATTTATATTAGTAAATATATTTAAAATGCTCAGTTCGAAGGAATAAATAGAAAATTTTAAAACAATTATCTGAAGAGACAATGCAACACAAACAATTAAAATAAAAGTAAAAAATTTAAAAATTACCTAAAATAAAACTATGACAAAAAAAAGATATAAAGAAAACTATTTGAAAAAAAATAAACGCTGCACTTTTATTGAAACTAGGCCAGTTCGAATAGGGTAAATAGAAATTTTTTAAAACAGTTATTCGAAAAAAAAAAACCTGCAACTTAAACAATTAAAATGAAATTCGAAAAAGAAAGAAATACTTAAAATAATAAGTTATAATTAAAAAATAATATAAAGAATATTATTTGGAAAAAAGGAACGATGGTGACTTTTTTTCCTCTTAGGGAAAAGGAAACTAGGTTGCCATATATTAAGAAGTTCGCCAAGTGAAACTATTATTGGCGCGACCTGAAAAAAAAGTGCCAACATAAATTTGTGAATTTCTCGTAAATTTCGCTCAAACAAATTTACAAAATTTCATATTTAGGCATAATTTGAGTTGTAGAATCAAAATATGTAAAAAAAATTGGTATTTATTTCAGAAAAAGTCCGATTTTGTGTCAAAATACCTATTTTAGAATAGTGCTAATTATAAATCTAATATATATCCTAAGTCGCGCTTCGAGACTTGAATAATGTCAATTAGAACGGGAATATAGCACTGTCCTTCTTTTTTTTTTTTTTTTTTTTTTTTGTACATCAGTGTACATCTCCAATGGGGTTTTGAGCAGTGTACATCTCCAATAGATTTTTGGGAAGTAGGTCCATAGCCTGTTAACTCCCGTAAACGTCGTATGTTTTTTTAACCCCTTAACCTGTTGGAACTCATCTGTTGTTTGGTTTTTGGTGGTGTTGAGAGTAACTTCGTAGTGTGAATCATGATGAATCACTCAAAGGAGCTTATTTGATGTAAGTGAAACATAAGTTTTAACAGTGCTTTTTTTAGCTTAAGTAGATGAGCAGGACATGTCAACCTATGACATATGAGGAAAAAACATAAGATGGACAACAGTGTGACTACTTGACTGCTGCAGTATCTGACATAAATTGTTGTGTTTCATGAATAGAATCTACTTTGCCATTACATTAGGTCAACATGTAATTGGTTGCAATTTCATGTGTTGCTTTGTAGCAAATGCTGTCTCGGAAATTCCTACTACTGTTCTGATCTTCAACAATTATATTTTAACCCAAGGTTCCATGCATTAAAATAACTCACCAAGCTGGAGTGAATAATGGATATTGGCCATGTCGATAACCAGGATAACATACACCCTAGATAGGCACATTAGGCCGATACAGTCTTCACACATTTCCTGACTTCGACCATGTGATTATGCAGCACTTACCCTTTTTAGCTCAGTGCAGCCACAAGGGAGAGTGCAAATTTCCTAATTATACACGTTGTTCTCTAATTTTTGAATTTATGTGTTAGGATGTTATGTATCATGCCGCACAAATTCACAAAATTATAGCTTACAGTTTCTGATGTAACTCATGTAAAGATAACTTTTTATATGAGTATACATTGAAAAGCCATCATGACCATCCCCACATTTTTGCAGTGAACTTGTCTGAATGACGTGGAGGGCATGTGATTAAATAGAAATGGTATTTAACTGCTGCTAAAGATGGTAAGGAATCATTCTTGCACATAACTTTTTTGAGTGATGGGGAAAAGCTGCTAAGCAAATTTGACAGAGAACAGATTGTAATGGCCCGAAGACTTGAATGAGTATCTTCAAAACTGCACTACTAGTACGTTGTTCACGATCTGCCTTTGTCAGTATTTGTGCAAAGTGTTACCATTATTTAAATACCATTCCCTCATCAATGACAGTGAAACCATCGGTGGATGCTGAGGTGTTGGACATCTACACTTCATCAAAGAAAAAGGACGTCAGAGACTATCCTGCTTGGTACAGCAAAAATTGGCACCAGGCAGTGGCTCATCTGAATCTAGGCCCAGTTCAGTGTAGGTGAAGTGCAAGTGTTTCGAAAAACAGTTCAACGGACACTGTTAGATATGGGACTATGCAGCAGATGTTCCACTTGTGTGCCACTGTTGACCAAGCATCATCAGCTACACCTACAGTGGAACTAGGAACATTGAGACTGGACCATGGATGAGTGGAAGGCAGTTGTCTGGTTAGATGAATCACAATTTCTCATTTATCATGTCAATGGTTGTGTCAAGGTATGCTGTCTTCCAGGCGAACAGTTGCTCCTTCCCCCTGTACAGCAGGTCATACATGGGCTGATGGTTGTGATATTATGCTTTGAGGGACATTCTCGCAGGTGCCTGTGGGACCCATAGTTGATGAAAGCTGTGGACTATCTGTACATAATTGTGGTTCAGTTGCTCCCTTACATGACTCTGTCTTCCCAACTGAAAATGGAATCTTCCAGCAAGACAATGCCCTATGTCACAAGGCTCAAACTGTGTTGGAGTAATTCGAGGAGCATAAGGATGAATTCCAATTAATGTCCTAGCCACCTAACTCACCAGAGCTTAACCTGATAGAGCACATTTGGGATGTCATGGAATGGCAGCTCAGGTCTGAAATACCACCATGTTGGTGTAGACTTTCTGTGACTGCTGCTTAGACATTTGATGTGTCCTGTCTCCAGTGATCTACCAAAAACTGTGACTGTGACTGCTGCTTAGACATTTGATGTGTCCTGTCTCCAGTGATCTACCAAAAACAGCTACAAATCACCTTGGCATCCATGCCAAGGTGATTTGTAGCTGTTTTGCTTGCCAAAGGTCACACAATGTGCTATTGAGTAGGTGATTGTAATACACTACCCTCCAAAAGTTAAGGAACAGCATGATTTTCAAAGCTCACCATCACAAAAATGTCAGTAATGTTTAAATTCACAGTTCATATGCATGATATGCATGATATCATCATATGCATCATATGCATGATAGTAATGTAGTAAGTTTAAGAAAATGTATGCAAAAACAATAGCTACCACTTTTTTTATCGATATGAATACTTATATAGAAGTTGGAGACAAAATGCAAAAATTGTAATTTTTGTTCAATGCTGTTCTTCACTTGTTATTACAGTTTCGTGGACAATATCCAGGAGAGTCTATCAGTGTCCAGGAGAAGTCGTTTGCCTGATTTGTTGAGTTGGCAGGTGATCGGATGGATGGAAATAGGGATGTCACAAGTTGATGCTGCTAGGCATCTCAATGTCTCTCATAGTGTGGTCCATCAACTATGGGATCAGTTTGAATCTGAGGATTCTGTGCCTAGAAGACATGTTTCAGGCAGACCTAGAGTTACAACATCTGCAGGAGACCATTATTTAGCTCTTTCTACCCGAAAGAGGAGTACCTCAGCTCATGACCTCAGCTGTACCTCAGCTCATGGCAGATAATTTAGTGGCAACAGGAACAAAAATCTCAGCTATTACAGTGTGCAGACATCTTAATACAGGTCTGTATGCAAGACAACCAGTTCTTTGTGTCCCCTTGACCCGTGGACACAGAAGTGCCCGTTTATGCTGGGGCAAGATAACACATATCCTGTACCAGTCAACAATAGGCATCTTTTCTCTTCACAGATGGGTCCAGGTTCATATTGGAGAGCGATTCAGGTCGTCACCTGATCTAGAGGGAACAGTAATGCATCAGATACAACCAATCCCACATTGTGGAAAGACATAGTTACAGAGGTGGTGAAATAATGGGCTGGGATCTCTCTCGGTAAACATACTGACCTGCATGTGTTCCATGGAGGAACTTTGACCAGTGTGAGATATGGAGATGAGATCCTTGATCAATATGTCCGCCCATATGCCGTGACTATTGAACCTGGATTTCTTCTGATGGACGACAATGCACGACTGCACCAAGCTCGGGTTGCTGAAGAATATCTTGAGGGTCACACTATGGAGCGGATGGAATGGTCAGCTCAGTCGCCAGACCTGAATCTGATATAGCATCTTTGGGACTACCTTGGGAGACAGGTTGCTGCTTTAAGTCCTCCTCCAAGGCCGTTAGATGACCTTGAACAAGGATTACTCTGTGTGTGGTAGGTGCTTCCCATTGGATTGACTGACAACTTAATTGACAGCATGAAACATAACTGCTGCCAATGTATTTCAGCTTGGGGTGGACACATTCCTTATTAGAACCCATTTTTCCTTAAAAAAAGCTGTGATATACTGTTTCTCCGAGACCGGATTTCTCTGCCAAGAGTGCAGTTTTTTGTTGTAATTCATGTTTGTGTTGAACTTTAGAAACATTCTATGTTGCATTCATTAAAGAATTGTTTAGTGAACATGTCCAGTAAATTTCTTGTTTCTGTAGTGCTTCATTCTCAAATTAGACACAAAAAACATGCTGTTCCATAACTTTTGGAGGACAGTGTATTTTGGTTCTTCGGTGTATTTCAAAACTAAATTTGAATAACTACTATTATAATATTGTAAATATATGTGTAAAAGCAAGTTTATTTAAAAGTAGAATTCATTTTTTATTATGATTATATAAAAAAATAGCATATGTCATGCATATACTTTTGATTCTGTTATAGGAATCGCATTTGAGAAAGGCAGAATTCTTACTACTCCGGAAACAGTTCCTTTTCGCTTGACGAGAGACATAGTTGATGGAATGGGAATCAATGGGGTTGAGGGTACTTTTAAAAGGTTTGTAGTAAGAAAACTTTTGTATCAATCTGTTTATGCAATATAATGATTCATATACCTGTTTTCAAGAAATATAAATGTAAGAGTGTAATTTAAAATATCAGTTTAAGCCATAGTAATGTCACAAAACATTTAAGCATAAAAAATGAGGAAAATGAAATCTATATTGTTATTTTTCCGAATAATAATCGTAAAGTTTAATATGAGTGATGTCAAACTTGAATATAACTAAGTCTAATATGACAAGTGAGAAAATGCTTAATATTTTCTGTGCTTCAAAATAAGTTCTTTAATTTTTTAATACAAATCTTTTTCAAAATGTAAAAGGCATCTTTTTCTATAAATTTTAAATGAATTTGAAAAAGTTATAATATGTATGTCATAATTTAATGCATCAAAGAAACACTGGAACTTTTAACAGCTTTTGATATCCATCACGGCTGAGGGTTGAATGCGTGCTGATGAAGGGTAACAAAACTAGATTTCTACAAATCGCCAATCTTTATTTTCACACATATCAAAACAATCCTTTTGCAGACAAGATATTTTTAATCATAGTGAAATTTCCATGTACATGATTTTTAAAAGTACGTAAGCATTTTGGACAGGACAGCATAAGAGGCGCAGAACTCTTTGCAGGGTGGAAGCTAGGGAAAGGAATGACGTAGTTGTTGTGTCAAGAGTATTTAAATTAAGTGTGATGCAGAAAGTACTCTAAGCTATGATTGGTTAAAATGGTGTTATGTAACAACCTGTGTTGTTATGTATTGGTAAAGATCTCGAATTTGGGAGAACAGATGACTTTAGGGGGAGAGCATAAAATCTAGAATAGTTAATTATGAGGTTTCCAATTATTCATAAAGCAGCCATTATAATTTGTTGTACCATACATATATATTATAACTTATTTAAAATACTAATTAAAATACAGACTGAATTTTTTTTTCTTTTATAATTCATGGTTTTAATTGAATTTTTGTTCCCTGGAGATGGTATATAAAAAGTTTTCCAATTATATACAATTTATATATATAATTTTATTAAAAAAACAAACTGAAATAATGTTCAGTGTATATGTAAAGTGTAATAAAAAAAATTTACAGTCCTCATCATTTTTTGTGTAGTGTAGATTTTCTTATTTGTTTTTAAACTTCACAGGCTTTGAGATGATTTTATCAATATTTATTTCTTTTAATAATGGCTATCATTAAGAAGCCAGTATTAACTTAAGAGAACAAAAAATTTTCCTTTAAACATCCTTTAGAAAATGTTCCTATTAATTGATAACTAACTATTAATAATAAAGTAACGTATTTCCATTTCTTGCCTTTAATTGCTAGACAGGCACTATCAAAACTACAGCGTTAAAAATATTTAGTAACATCAAAATAAATAGAAAGCCATCGTATAAAAAGAATTCATATGTAGATTCTTTAATAATTCAAAACTAATTGCAAGGATAAAAAAGTATTCCAAATTATTTTTAAAACAGTGAATAAAATTCTTTGTAATTTACATTTGTTATTTATATTTTCAGATGTTCTGAAAAAACTTTAGAAGTTATGAGGAATTCGCAAGATGTTCTTTTAACAATATTGGAAGTCCTCTTATATGATCCATTATATGAATGGACTGTACCTGCATCCAAGTCACCGTCACAAAAAGCCTCCTCTTCAACTACTTCTGAAAGTCAAGGTAAGAAAATTTAGTAACCTTATTTTTTGAATGAAATGTATCAATGCTTTCTTTTACAATTAGTTAATATATTCATAAGGTTTTATTTCACCTAGAAAATGCTATATCTGCTCAGATTTACAGTATATTTCAGAAATGATTTGAGAATACTGAGATTCAACAATTCTGGCACTTTGCTTTTGAGTCATTTGAAATTGTAATGAAAACTGTGGTTGTTAGTGTAAAGGTTTTTGAGTATAATGATCTGCTTGAAAAATGATATAATGATAAATATCACTTACATAACAATTAATCATAAAAAATTTCAAAGTAACTATACAAATAACACAAGTCTTAAAAATTATAAATGCAGTAGGCACTTATAATTTTTAGTGTAATCACATTCATCCAGCATTGCTTAAAGAATACTGGATGGTGACAAAATTATCTATCAAGAATATTAATGCAGTTTAACTGAAATAGCAGAAATATAAAAGAAGCATATTATTGTAAACATTTATAGAATTAATTAGAAGTAAAAGTTAAAACAATGCAAAATTATCAATAATGAATTATCAGCAGTTGTTATCCAGTAAAAGTTCATTTATAAACTATTTATAATTTTATTGTGCCCGGAAATTATTTGTCTGACTATTTGTCTGCCCTTAATATTAACCCTCTGAATGGTGCATTTTTGCACTAGTTGTGAAAACTTGTATTTAAACAACATTTATTAGCTAAATTTGCTTTTCTGAAATGTGATTCCTGGACATATTTTCAGCAAATGCAGTGCCTCAGCAAGATCAGTTTTGCCTTACAAACTTATTTATACTGCTGTTCATATTTCCTATTCCTAGTCATGATGCGCATGAAAAAACTCCTTTACTTCATGGTGATAAAATCCTTCAAGTTTTAGTAATCCGTTGATCCTATGATTGAATTAGAGATAAGTGCTGTTTTCTGAAACAATTATAGCTTCAATATGCTTTTAAGAAAGCATTTACATTGTGTGCTATGCAGTTGACATTTAAAATAATAATAATACTCTTTCAAAATCCATCCATCCATTAGTAACAGTGGATGTCATCCATGTTTCTAATTACAACTTTACAATTTTGCTGCTTGGTGACTTTATATTGATTATAAAAATGTTCTGTGACATTTTGATCACATTAAATGAATGAATTACAATAAATGATGAACTCTTGTTATATGTTCTTATATATAGATGGCTTCAGTAATTTATTAATTGTATCTAAAATGATAACATTTATTAAAACAACAATCAATAATAACTAAAGAAGGCAGCTTGTGGCTCAAAACTCATTCATTTCATAATATCTTAGAATTGACATCAAAACAGTTCACAGAATGCAAATCATTATAATAAGGTATATAACATCCTATGAATTGTATTATTTGAATCTTAAAATTCACAATTTTAAATATATAAAAACAACTTCTCACCTGTTTTCTAAAATAAAAGTTTTAAAACCTAGAATTCCATTTTAAATTGCTTTACCAAGCATTGCTATCCACATCTTCAAATCAAAAAGTAATTAAACATTTTGATATTTTCCAGTGTTTTCAGATAATGAATTTGTATTTAACAGTTCAGATAAACTTTGTGAATAAACATGCCAGCAAAGCTAAAAAATATGGAACCTTTTTTACAGCTCCAAGCAGTGGCAATTTTTGTCAGTGTAAATGATATTGGTAACAATGGATCTGATAATCTTTCTTTAGAAGAATATTTGTGTTAAATTATCAAATATCTGAATTTTTATGATTGAATCATTATAGAAAACTGTGAATTTTGATAATGTTATAAAATATAAATAATGGTTACTCACAAGAGAAATATTGTTACTATCTGTCAGGAATCCTTTTGTATTGCTGTAATTATTGTGAATTTTAATAAAGACACTTATTGCAAATACTTTGGTACAGTTCGACCATCTAAAACGCAACCCTGGCAGGCATTCTGCCAAAACACATAGACTCGTCCCAAAGGGGCGTTATCACTTGCTGCGACATGAAAGTCTTCTCTTCTCCAAAAAAAAAAAAAAAAAAAAGATATGCTGGAGGGAAAGAAAGTCCCCATCCTTCCATCCTATTTTTAAAATAATTTGCAATACAACTAGTAATTTTAAAATATACGGAATTACACTTAGTAGTGCACATTTGCTTGCAATATTTTAATAAAAATGTATAGGCATAAACAGCAGCAAAGGTAGAAAAGATTTAATACAGTGACTGCCACGCTGATATTGAAGAAATTTGTTCTGAGCATTAACAGGTTTTATTCAGTTTATTGTAAAGCATTAAACAAAAAATAATTATAACAATATTGTCTTATATTTCAATTTATTTTTTTAACAGGAAATTCTTTTTGAATTATTTTGTAATCAGGGCATCTCTGAACAAGATATAACTTAACCTTCCCAGAACAGAATTTAACTGAATTAACTGATAATTTTAATGATGGAAAGCATATAGATAGAGAGAGGACAGGAAGAATTTTAGCAGTATGCCAAAAATGGATGAATTGGAGTGAGATTATTTTCTTGGAGATAAGAGTGATGATAGTTTAGATTAAGAATCATCAAACGAAATAGTTTAGTAAGTGATCAAAGTAATAACAAACAAAAGCCTCAGCAATAGAATTTACAGCCCAGTTCGAGAACCCTCAGTGGTGGAGATTGGTGTCATATAGAAATGGATCCAGTAATTTTGGATTTGACATCAGAAATATTGTGCTGAAATATCCATTATATGTAGAAGATCTAGCAAATTTGATTTTTCCAATATGATTTTGAACCTTATAGCTGAAGAGACAATTCTGCATGTCACACAAAAAAATAAAAATTAACAAAGTATTATAATAAACCCTTTAACAAGATTGGGTATGACAAGAATTTAATTGGTTAAAGGCCAATGTAGATGAGATACATTGTCTTTTCTTGCACTACTTTTGCATATGGAATCATGTACACTACCATCAATTGAACATTACTGGAGTCAAAGTATTTTATATACATTATCTTTTGGGGGGAGAGAATCTACAATAAGCCAAAGTAGGTTCCTATCATTGCTTCACTTTTGTTGTTTTGTTGATAATACTTTTGTTGGCAAGATCACTTACATAAAATCAGAGCAGTTCTTGATCATTTCAACATTATGCATAACTATTATGCATTGATGAATCTATCATTTTTATGGCATGAAAAGTAATATATAAAAAAACAAGATGCATAAATATAGATAAAATTGTATAAGTTATGCAGATCCAATGAATTGTTTTGGAAATTCAGATTGTATAAATCAGGAATAGTTGTTCACAAAGACATGCCTCCCAAGTACTCCTTCAGTTGATGATTTATTTGTTACATAAAGGTTATGTATTGTGCATTGACAATATCTATAGCTCACTGAAACTTGCAAAAAATATGACATTCAGAAAAGCCTATATTTGTGGCCCTCAGAGCAATAACCAAAGCAATACTTGGGGGATTAAAAAAGGAATAATGCATATGACACAGAAATGAATCTCTGCATGTAAGTGGAAAAATAAGTGTAATGTCCTTACAATATCAAACATGCATAAAGTAAAAATGCTCAAAATTTGAAACAGAAATGGAAAATTTACCCAAAAAATAAATAAAACCAAGGATTACAATGTCAGGGATTGTCAAATGCTGATCAATTGGATCAAATGCTTTCAAAATTGCTGCAGCACTTTAAAAAAAACAATTAGGTGGCTAACAAAATAGCTTTACACATTGATGAAACATGTATATAAAATACACGTTTACTTTTCATGCATCCAGAAAAAAATGAAATTATATCTTTAAAATCAGAGGCATGAGACAAGAGGGAGAAGGCATGATGTAATTGTCCATCCCTTCATATTAGGTAACAATGACTCGCCTATTAGGTGCTTGCACAATAACGTGGCCACCACTTTCAGCCTTAGTAGTAGCCAAGCCTAAGTTGGCTAAGTGCCTGCCAATAAAAGTTGTTTATTTATTTATTTATTTAAATTTTTTAAGCTTTATATGATATTCTTACTTGCATTTAGTGTGTTCCCCCTCTTTTTTTTTAAGTTGCAATAGATATTTTACTTTAAAGTCTGTATAAACCATAAATTTCATCTATTGCTTTTTCCTGAAAAATGCATGTAATAATTCTTTTATTATTACAGAAGTAAATAAACTAGCTGAAAGAGCTTTGATGAGGTTACAACAAAAGCTACAAGGTTTAGAAGAAGGTGTTGCTATGAGTACAGAAGGCCAAGTTAATCTCCTCATACAACAAGCTCGAGATCCGAACAACTTATGTAGATTATATGTAGGATGGCAACCATATCTGTGATATTTTTTACTAGTACAAATATTCATTGTATATAGAACACTTATATTTGAATAAAATACATATTTTTGTTTTGTATCTAGTTGATGTTCAAAATCTTGGTATCTCATGCTCTACCAACAGTTTTACTAACATTTTGAAGATGAATTAAATGTGATATGATCATGAAATTATATGTTTATGAAAATTATATTCTAAACTTTAAAGGTATGTTTTTCATTAATTAATGTGGTTAGGTACAATTTTTTTCCCCTAATTCTAATTTCCATTCAGAAGAAAGGCTGCACCAATCACATGTTGATTGTACATAATATATTATTGAGAATTAAATAATAGCACTACTGATCATAATTTTGTAAACTGAACCTATGCTTTAGCTAATTACTGTCGGTGCCTTTTGGATCTTAGGTGCTTAATATTTTTATTAGTTTGTTATTTCTTGGATTTGCATTAATTTAAAATGAAATGAATTAGCAGAACTGAAATATATTATGAAAATGAAAAATGCATCAAAATGTACTGATATTGGAGAGGGTAATTTTCCTAATTTGGGTCTGACTTTGAAGCAAAATCATGTCACTTTATAAAAACTGATTTTTTAAAATTAAATAAATGTTTTAAAAATTCATATAAATCACATTACAAACTTTTCTAACTTCATTTATAACCTAGCCATGCTAACTTTGTATACTTTTTCAGATTAACCAGCTATTTGGACAATTAATTCACAAATCAGCTGGAATTAAAATATTACTTTATTAAACATTAATTAGAACTAAAAAATTAAATGGATTTTCAAGTAGCTTCAAAGTTTTTTTTAATTATTAATTTTCGGAAGAAGCCCAGTAGTGGCTGAGTTGTAAAACCACTAAAACTCGATAGTTTAATCCAGATTCAGATCTCAGCAAATCGGCTAGTTGCATGGCAATTTTCATGATCTTCCCCTTGAATAATATGAATATGAGTCAGTTCCAGTAATAGTGTTTCACAAAGGCATCTCTCCCATTAAGCAGTTAGCCCTCACATATTTGCCATAATCTAAATTCTAATACTTAATCCTATTTTCAGGAAAAGCTTAAAGATGGAACATTTAAAGATACTAGATGACTCTTAAATCTCAAGTTGAAACTAAAATTGGAATTATCACATTAAATTTGGACTTTCAGCATATATCAAACTTGATATTTATATAAAATGTTTATGTGCCTGTTTTCATTATCACTTTCTATTTTTATTTGGGAGGAGGAGAACCTAAGTATTTATTTACATAGTATTTAAATACATTTAACAAAGAAAACACATCTGTTATCTAGATACGTTATCACAGTTTGACTAGCCAATTATGAAAGGACATCGAAACATTTAATTGCCATTTTAGATAAGCTTCAAATGTGTGTTGACTCTTTTAACTGTTATAGTTGCTTATTTGACCCATGTGATTATATCCATTAGAACTATTTTCAGTACTTCCTTGTTAAAGCACTAACCATGCTACATTATAAAAGTGGCAAACTTACTCAGTCCATTATTGTAATTTGCAAATTTCAAATGAAATTCTTCAAGTACTTCACTCATTCATCTTAATCATAAAATTTTAAGCCTGTTGTGTAATTGCTTCATGCCAATTAATCAGCTTCTGTGTTTGAATAACAAACTGACCGTCTTAAACGTCCCTAATCATCCTTTTATTTTCTCCTTTCAGTCCTTTGGTAAATGACTCTTCCTAATCAAGGCTCTTAATGTTTCTGCATTAATATTTATTTTCCATAATTTTTTCCCATATTATGTTAGTAAAAATAGTTTGCAGCAATTCAATGAAAAATTCTTAAAAAGTAAAAATGTTAATATTATACAATAACTAATTTCACAGACAAAACTACAGTTTACATATCAGTTTATTATACGAATTACGTAACATATGTATATCTTGAAAACAAGTATTTTCTAAAAAAATAACATACATAACATTTTTGAGTGTGTATTGTTTTGGAAAGTAAATAAATTCCCTAATTCATCTGAGATTATTTTGCTGCTTGCAGCAGAAATTTGAACATGTAACGAAAACTAATTATATAGTCTATATAATCTTCATTTGGCAATCTTTGCTTTAGAAAATCTTTCTGAAATATCTTTCCAATTTGCTACTTTCCATATAGCTTTAACATAATCTGGACGCACATTCTTATATTGCAAATAATAAGCATGTTCCCAAACATCAATTCCAAATAAAGGCACAAGCCCTATAAAACAGAATAAAGTGCTTTTAATATACACATATGTAGAATACAATAAAACACAATATGTAAAAAAATAAAACTATCACGGCATATCACAGAAATCCAAGATATACTTTTTAAATATGAGTATTATGTTACAATAAATAAACATTCACAACTAAAGAATGTACGATAAGTGTACACAAGAAAAGAAAAATTATGATTTTTTTTAATCTTTTGCAGGCTGCATACCACAAGTGTCTTCCATGATGTATAGCAATTTTTAGAATGAGAGAAATCATTGTCCACATTGTGAATATGTATTAGACACTCCATAACCATTTGATACTCCTTTTGTATAGTGGAAAGATTTTGTGAGAGGCACTAAACATATATCATGCAGCATCTGAGCTGTTTCATGCTGTACTCTTACTCATGCCAACCTTATTTATCATGTTTCCCTTAAAGAAATCATTCATATGATGTGCAGTGGCACCAAATGTGACAATATTTTTGACTATCCTTGCAGAAATTTATCTGCTTTTAAAAGTTCTACCCTTTCATGCTCAGGAACAATATTCACCATATGCTGCCTTCATCAGTGGATGAATGTTCCATGTGCATTCATTTCCTGTCATTAAAAAAAAAAAAAAAAACAGACTATCTGTTACTGTGTGGGATGCAAATACAAAAAAACCATGTTCCAGTTCTTATTACATCTCTGCAGGGTGCACCAATAGCACGGGCGCTCGAGCTACTTCACAGATGTGCTAAGGAAGTCTGATTATCAACCTCGCCTTAAGATCAGGGGGGGGGGCTTAGGAACAAGTGAACTAACATACATGGCCTGCAGGAGGGTAACACACTCCTCCATCAGGAATGAACTTCCTGATAGAATATGTGTGAGACCAGTTAAGGGCAAGTTCTGGCCAGCACCGGTAGCCATATCTCAACTGCCGGCCAGTATCTCTTCCCTGTCCACAGATCTAATGCTGCAAAGGGATGGCGGGCTGCATACTTTTCGTAAAAGCTAGAGCATGAGAGCAAATGTACACACCTCTCCAAGGAAAATTTCAGTGAAGTAACATGAACAAATTCGTCATGTCTACTTTGGAGTCGGAACAGTAGCCAAACCCTCAATCCCTCCACAGCCATACCCATGAAAAGCTTTAATGCCCAGGAAGTCCGCCACAGAACAGAAAAGGTAACTGCTTGTGAAGTATTCTACCACAAAAGTTCTGAATTGAAATGGTACTCCATGCTTATGTGCTGACCAGATCAACTACCATGGTTCTGTCCCCAAGCAAAAATCAAGATATAAAGTAAAGCACTTCTTTACTCATCTGTATTCTGCTTTTGATGATAATTATTATTGCTTTCCTTTGTCTCTCTCAGCACTAGCTATGTGTCACATAATCTTAACATGGATGTCATCTGATGCACTGTATAAGTATTTCCATCATGTAGTGTAAATATCAATTTATATAATTTAGTTCTATTGGACGGCCAATATTCATTTGACTAAAATTTTTTTATCTTGACTAATTTGAAAATTATCTAGCTGGGTGCACCTTTTATAGTTCTTTTCTTATAGCTGAGCCAGAATATGTCTCTATCATGTGCTACAACAATACAGAAGTTGCTTTATGCTTTTGTTGTCACTGAGTACTACAAAAAAGGACAAACTTCTAGTTGATATTTACCCAGATAGAAGTTTCTTCTATTACCATAAAGTATAGATTTTTTATGAAACTTTTGTAAGCCAAATGGCATGAAGTTAAAATGTAATTACCAATTAATTTGCACAAGAAAATAGTTTAAGCATTCTCAAGCCTAAAAAGTAACCTGCTCTAAGTCACACCAACTAGCATAAACCTTACAGAAGGAAATTTTTTTTGCAAACAGTTACAGAACCAGTGGCCCACTTTGAATACTCTTTGCATAAATCATGAGATGTGCATCAACTGGCTGATCACTGACAAAGCAAATTTCAAATTAAATAATAAATAAAAATTTTTAAAGTTGTGGGTACATTAAATATAGAATATAATTAAGATAAAAATAAATTTACAGCTAAAATTTTAAAATGGAATTTAAAAGACATTAATTGGATACAAAGTGTAATATTTTTCAGTTTTAATCAATTTTATAATTGATGTTATTAATGATATAATAACAGCAAACTGGATTTTACTCTTATATTCTAGTTAGTAGAGTATTTAACAAAATTAGCTTCCTTAAATTAGTTTTTATTTAGTACACTAACAAAATCCATTATCCATCATTATTACATATTAAAATTATCTATTAATCTGTTAACTGGGTATGACGAAATGTTTCGTCATGCTGGGAAGACTATTTCAATGGGTATGACGAAATGTTTCGTCATGCTGGGAAGACTATTTCAATGGGCATTCGTCTATTGGGAAGACTATTTCAATGGGCATGACGAAATTTTTCTTACATTTTTTTTGCAATCTGTCACTTGACCGTTGTTCAAGAAAAATCGATCAATGGAAACACTTGTCCGCTCATAAATTGTGATAACACTCCTAATTTACACAACTTAATTTCATTTTAGTCTGCATTTCAGTATTTTACATATTAGTAATAACTTGTTGATTTGAGTAATTGTTAGTTTTTTATAAATATGGCTAAAAATTATTGTGAAGCAGAAAATATTTTTGAATTGTCTGAAAGTGACGATGAAATATTGCCCGGGAGGTTTGGTAAACGACGTTGAATTCTAAGAATAAGTACCAGTTCGGAAGAAAGCGACAACGACTTCTTTACTGATGGTCTGGGCATTGAATCAAAGGATGATGATGTTATAGACCAAAATATTCAAACGACATCAGCTGAATGGAAATGTGAAAGAATATTGCGATCGCCTTTCCCGTTTTTATCTCAATCTAGACTTACATTTGAAGGACCTGAAGAAAAGGATTGCCTTTTTTATTTCGAGAAATTTATCGATGAGAATTTTGTAGAACTTATTGTGGAACAATCAAACAAATACGCCGGACAGTTTTTTGAAAAAAATACTTCCATGAAACCGCGTTCAAGATGTCTCTCGTGGGTTGACACAGATGACCGAGAGATGAGAGTATTTATTTTTTTTACTAATTTTGCAAGGAATAATAGGAAAACCTTCTTATCAGCTTTGTTTTTCACAAAGCGAGAAAGTCTGGAGACTCCATTTTTTTATAAAACTATGTCAGAAAAAAGATTCCAACTGTTAGTAAAATTTTTACATTTTAGTGATAACAATGCTTTCGATCTAAAAGTGTGCAACAAAAAAACCTACAAAATCGATTCCATTTTGAACTATTTGAGAAAAAAATTCAAGGTGTTATACGTACCAGATAAGGAAATATCTGTAGATGAGTCTCTTTTGCTATGGAAAGGAAGACTGTCTTGAAAACAGTACATTCCATCGAAAAGAAGTCGATTTGGTGTTAAATTGTATAAGATATGTAAAAGTAAATCCGGATACATAAGTGGTTTCATTATATATACAGGTAAAGACACGGAGTATGATTCAAACTATCCAGAAGAACAGGGACCAAATCATATTTTTCTTGAATTGTGCCACGATTTGTTGGATAAGGGATATACGCTATATCTTGATAATTGGTATACTAGTACTGATCTAGCTGAGAAGATGAGCAGAAGAAAAACCGATGTAGGAACAATGCGAAAAAATAGAAAGGGAATAGGAATACCATCTGATATCAAAAATTGTGTTTTGAAAAAAGATGAACATATTGCTAGGTACAGAGACAAAATAATGATTATGAAGTGGAAAGACAAAAAGGATGTAATTATATTGTGTATTATCCACGACAATAAACTTGTAGAAATAGAAAAATGAAGGAAAACGATATCAAAACCGGAAGTTATTGCCGACTACAACAAAAATATGGGAGGAGTTGATCTTGCTGACGGACAAATGAAAACTTATGAAATCGCTAGAAACCAAGTAAAAAAGTATTACTATAACATATTTTTACATGCACTAGACATGGTGTGTTTGAATGCATATCTTTTATACAAGAAAGATGGCGGTCATCTAGATGGGCTTCATTTCCTTATCGAAAAAGGTGTTGAAAAATATAGAGACGGATCACAGTTGCCATCTACTAGTACAGGACGATCATCTTTGACACCAAAACCATCTCGACTCTTGAAAGACATTTTGCAGACTATATACCATCCGATTCTTCATGAGTAAATGTAACGAGGAGATGCAAATTATGCTATTCCAAAGGTCTTAGGAAAGAATCGAGATTTTGGTGTCCAGGCTGCAGTGTTGCTTTGTATACGGCGCATTGCTTTAGGGAATATCATACGAAATAATTGTTTAAATTCATTCAATTAATTTGTTTTTCCGGATTAAAAATGTTTAATTTTAATATTTTATATCATTAAATATTTTAAAACGATTTTCTTTTATTTATTCCTTGCGATGTGCTGAAATTACTGCAAAGGAAAAAGTTCCCATCGTGAAACGATTTTACTGAAAGCTTATTCCCCAGGTAACAGGTTAAAATTACATGGTAGTTGATGAAATTAATGATTACTCTATTTGCACATGTTTCTACAATTATATTTAAATAAATGTCACATAAATTATTACTAGAAAATAATCCAGAAATGAACTGTAAAGCAGTTCAAAATTTTTAATTTAGAACAAGACATTATTTTAAAATACACAAAAATAATCCTGTTAAATTACCAGTGGTAGGCTGCAATGGATCTTGATTAGCACAAGTAGCAATCTGCAGTCTGCCTGTACAGGTATTGTATCCTAACCATGCCCAACCTGATCCTTGAACACCAACAGCAGCAGCACTTAGTACATTTTGCATAGTTTCTAAACTTTGAAAATCTTTCTTAATAGCTTCAAGAAGGTCACCTGTCAATAATTTAAGAAATATTTTTAAATATCTATATAGTACTGTGTTCAAACTCAATTAAAATTTACCATTATATGAAAACAAATACTAAAATAAAATAATTATTTTTTTTACCATTGAAAGAGACTACAAAAAGACCTCAACAAATCTTCAGATAGTTTTCCCTTTGTTGTTTAGTAAAACAGTATTTCTATGAAACTTTTTGTAACCCAAAATGTATAAAGTGAATATGTAATTATCATTTATTTTATATCTAAAAAAGTGTTATTAACATTCTCAGGCCTGAAAAATAACCTGCACCAGGTTAAACCATATAAAATTTAATATAACACAAACATATAAAAGAAATACTATATCAATGGAAATTATGTATAATTTCACTTTATAAAATCAGCAAAACAGAGAGCACACATACAACTCAGATTGTGGTAATAATGATTGATGATAATGATTTAAGCTGAGCTTTCAAAGTTACACTGGAGGAAGAAGATGGGTATAGGAGGAAAGGATCATCTAATATCCAATCAATCATTTGAAATACCTCAGGCAGACAGGCCATGCATTTATCTACCAAAGCATGAAGGTCACTAATAACTAGAACTTATTATATATCTGCCTGACTTGATGATGCCAAAAATTAAAATCTGATATCTCCCGAGGTTGAAATAAGTTTGATAACTTAAATTCCTTTTCCCCTGTATAGGTTATTTATAATCATTCAAACAAACTATAAAACTGACCTATATGTCTGGGATTTATCAAATAAAATCATATTTTCATACAATCATTGAATAAACCAAATGCTGAATGCTCTTTCCTGTCTTCCCTTCTTATAAAAAATGAAAAGTCGTTTCCAGATTTATTTCAAAAAACAAAAAGCAGATTGTAACATATGAGGCCTTTGTAAAAGCAAAGTTGCATAAAATGAATATTCTCAAAGCTTGATAATGTTAAAAAAAAATACTTTCTTACATATGTCCATGTACCTTCATATGTTCAAACATAATTTGACACATCATGCTAAATACTTCAAATCATACTGAAAATTACTCTAAATCACAAAATGGCATTATTTGTGATAATAAAATCAATATAAATATGTGACATTCAAATGCTTTAAAGATATGTATGATCAAAATTTATTCTTTCATTTGGTCTCCTTTCTACTAAATATTTTTACATTAAAGAAAACTATTACTAATTACATTCCATCGGAGGGAAAATATGTCATATATCATAGGAAAAGAAATAAGAATGAGTAGACTAGTTGCAGACAAGCTCATCATCAATAGCGTGCATTATAACTAATAATTCAATATTAGCTGTTAAAACAAATATTGAATTCTGTAATATAAGAAAAAGAAATACAAAAGATATTTTTTTTAGTAGAAAGTTTAATTATTTAAAAGCTGTAGTAAGTTATAGAGAAGAAATTGATGAATAACTAAAACTAAGACTTAAAATGTCTTCAGAATCTAAATATATACATATATAGAAGGGTAAACAGAAGGGTCCATTTTTTTGTGTGCAGTTCATACAAAGTCTTGATATAATTTGGCATCCTTGATCTTCTGCGTAATATTTCAGAAAACCACTCCATGAGGTCTACACTCTTTATACAGTACAAAGTCCGTAATTCAGACGTCCGTTATCCGGAATGATCTATAATTCGGACCTCAAAGCCACAAACTTATGCATGCGCGTAAAGCCAGTAAAGCATTTACACATGTGCACTTCCGATAGTGAAGAAAGTGACAGACAGGTTATTGAAAACAAAAAAATTTCGATTGACAAGTTAGTCGGTATTCTCAACACAGCAATTACAGGACTTGAACAGTGGAACTTTGTAACTGAACAAGAAATTATGTCTGTTTATAGAATTAAAGAGAAAATATTAGCACAAAAAATGAAGCAACTTACATTGAAAGAAATGTTTAATAAAGTAAATAAATAAATATTAAGCTTTTTTTTTTTTTTTTTTTTTTTTTTTTTTTGTAAATTTTGATACGCTTTAGATCATAATTGCTCTTTATTTCAGAAATTATGGTTTCATATTTTTAATTGCATAATTTCTGCATGCCATCTTACCAGATTTAAATTGTTGATCTATAATCCGGACAAACTCCTAATCCGGAATCGCCAAAGTCCCGACGAGTCCGGATTATGGACTTTGTCGAGACTGTATATGTAAGTACTGTATATATTTTAAGTACTGTATATATAAGTTTTGTGCAAATCTAATCAATTTTTGTTTGAGATCTGAGTAATTTAAAAGAATTGTGTTGCCACTCTAAGAGACATAAGATATTTCTGTTTAAATTTTAATCAGCAATATAAAAGAAATGAGTTGTCACTCAGCAAAATGCAATATATTTGTCTTTCAAATTTAATACACAAACTGAACATTTTAAAGGAAATGGGTTGCTGCTGTCCAAATTAAAAATATTTTTATTTTTCACACAGCAATGTGCTGTTCAGCAAAATGCAATCTTTCAAATTTATCCTGTTATAAAGTAACAAACTAAACAGTTTAAAAGTAATGAACACAGATTCATTCAAGTTATTATTAATTATTAACTGTATTAATTAAAGTCAGCTAGATATAAAAAGAAGTGTCTGCTAGTTTGTATGTGAGTAATTCCATATAAATATACAATTTTAATCTGATCTTGATGAAATTTTTTACACTTGAGCTTCAAAACAAGAGGAAGGTCAAGATCCACACAAGATTTTGAAAATCCATTACATAGGGTCTCCACTCAGGCCGTTTATATTGTTGTATGCATACAGGTTCATAATAGATTGAATGCACACAAATCTGACAATAGGTTAGTAAAATTTATTTTATTTTATCGAAAGAAATACTTCAAAGTTCTGTAACTTTCCACAAAGATAGTCTTAGCTCTTCACAATATCACAGAGTGCAGTCAGTAGTTACATTTCAAACTACTGTGAACTTAAAACACAAGCGGCAAGCAACAGCATTATTTGTAATAACAAAAATCAATATAAATATATAACAACCATTGAAATTCAAAAAATATCCAACATTATTCTGCCCGGAGATATCTCGGTACTCCGATCTCATGCCGAGCTAACAGCAACAGCAACAGCTACAACTGAGATGTGATGCTCTCACTAGCCTTACACAGTTTGCACCTGGCCGGCAACATACTTCTAGTACTTTCTGCTTCTCAAAATTACTGGAAGGCAATATGAGGGTCGAATTATGGTTACAGCTAATACAGTGATCAATTACTTTAATTCAATTATAATACCTATTGTGTGATACAGGGACTGGAATAAAATGTCGCCATTGATGACTTTTGAAGGTTTAAATTGTTGCCAGCTTGGCAATATCTCACCACATTACCGAGATATCCATTTACTCAATGTTAAACACACTTGGCCCTTATTCTTACTTTTCCAGCACATCTTCTCTCTTTAAATTTTTTTCATATTACATTACACATTAAAATACAATAATTGCTCTAAAATCAGCTAGCTATGTACAAATTTGAACAATATTTTAGCACTGTGCTCATGTCCCCCACGAGATTCATGTCACCTTTGTTGCATTCTCACTATTAGTGGAATACATGCTAAGCAAAGAATTTATGATTTTTTTAACGAAAAAAAAAAAATGTTTTTGCCCACTTTCAATTTTGAAATCATGTTGCTATTGTTACATTCTTGCTACAAGTTCTTACTAAAATGGTCAAATAAGTAATGTTTGCTCAATAGAGACAACAGGTTGCATGAATAGGTTTCTGCCAGTTAGGTACTGTTTACAAATACGTGTTGGTTTGTTCTAAAAACAGTGTATACATCCTTTGTTAGAAAAGTTCCAGGACAAAGGTCGTAAAAAATAGCAAATTGCATCTAACAAGTAATGATCCTAGCTGCTATCAAAGTAGTCCCCTTGGCTATCTATACACAACTGCCAAAATTTCTAGAGGTCTTGGAATCAAGCAGGAAAATCTTCAACTGCGATGGTTGCAAGCTCATATGTCACATCATGTTGTATGTCTGCAATAATCTTAATGAAGCTTTCCTTTCAGTCACCTTTTCACTCACAGAAACAAGAAAAAATCACAATAATCTTTGACACTGTAGTAATCATGTCTGGCTCTATCCTATAATTCAGCAGAAATTCTTCGTATTCGCTCCTTCTGTTCATGTCTCCCTAAATCTTCATATAAAATCTTATGATACATCAAGATTTAAATTCAGTTTTTCTGATATCATATACACAGTTACATGACAGTCTTCTTGCAATAGCTGTCTTACACGCTCCACGCACCTGTATCAGCTCTGTGATCGTCTTGCACTGAATTTCTGCCTTCACGAAACCTTTTGTGCCTCTCAAAAACACGACTTCTTGAAAGTGCCTCACCTGCATATGCTTGCTTAATCATGTTCCACATTTCACTAGGGGTTTTCCTGAGCTTAATGCAGAACTTAATGCTCACTCTTTGCTCACAATTAGCATCCACTGTGTCACCTTAACGAATGCAACATGAATCTGAACAGTGAGTTGCTAAGCACAGCCCTGCCTCCTAGTAAGTTTGGGTGGAAATATGACCAAGGTCATGCCAAGTCAGAATAAATACAGGTAACATAAACACAACATTTGTTCTTTTTCAGTGCTGCAAACTCAGAAATGATTAAAAAAAAATAATATCCTGGAACTTTCCTGACAAAGGATGTAGTATCTCTGAGACAGTGTAGAATCTTTAAAGAATTTAAATACACTTTCTATCAGTTCCTCACAAACATTTCAAAAACAATGACAAAATCTGTAAAAGCAAATAGTGATTTTCTGAAAGTTCACTTTCAAAAAAAGACATAACTGATAACAAAGCATATATCAGTTCTCACTAAAACTGTTAAATGATACCATATTAGTTATCTCTTTAAAACAGTGTAGAACCTTTACACCAGAATTTAAATTCACTCTCTATCAGTTTCCCACGAGTATTTTGGAAATGTTACACACATACTACTAAATGAAGCCTCTTCACTCTCTGTAAAACCTTGGCAAAGCTGAGTACTTCAGGTAGTACTACATAAAAAATGAAAGTTTATCTGGATGCCTGGTTAATAAACCATGCAAAACTAAGCCATGGATTGATTTCATATTTCCATGCTTATAACATTTTACCCATAAGATATTATGCATGTTGAATTTTAAACTTGTACAAATAAGAGTCCACTGTTGGCATAATGTTGGTATTATTTAAAGCTCATTATAGGAAACAATACTACATTTGCATCACCCAAGTGTGACACTTTCATACGATATAAAAAATTTGTATAAATTCAACACTTGCTTTTTTCTGCAACCTCACATCATTCAATTGCCATTTCATTTCCAACAATCTAGTGTATAGAACATAAAGAAAATACATATATATTACAGATTTATTTATTTATATAGTTTTTCATATATTTAAACAGTGGACAAGTCTTTGCATCTCTTAGGAAAAGAAATAAAAATAATGATCATGAGATAAGTAATGACGGTATTCAAAATTTTTACGATTGCTATTAAGAGATTTATTTTGTTGTAGCAAGTTGTTTGTAAATAGCAATAAACAGCTTAGTAAATATTGCCATTGAACTTTAACAAGCAATTTGTTGCACTAAAAGTAATTTTAAAACCAGTTGTCCTGAACCTCTGCAAAGCAGCTGAATCATACATGAGACAACTATTTGGCATAACATTTTAGATGTTTTCTGAAGTGATACCACAAAAAATTCATTTTTTTTTCTTCTCCAATATAGTCTCTTCTGACATTAAAACAATACTCCAGTTTCTAGGATCAGACTGGAAGACCCTAAGCACTTAAAAGATTTTGGTTGCCCCCTTATAAATGCTTACACCAGCCTTTTTTTCCATTCTTTCTCTCTCTCTTGGTTTTGGTTTAGCTGCACCATACATTCCACTATAAAACCGGAATGGGAAATTCTTTGGTGCTGCCTTTCTTGAATACCTACAGATCCTTTTAAGGTGCCCTCTTTCCTTGATGCCCTATGAATGTGCATATATTGCTTAATAGTTAACCTAGCCCAGCTAGTTTCCTCAAAAGAACAGGTTTTCAACTTAAAACTTTTTTTTAACTAAGCAGCTGTTAGTCCAAACCCTGTCTGTAAACAGAGGTCAGTCTATGCATATAATATATTACAGTAATCTAATATTTTACAACTGGAAAATTAAATTTTATTATAAAGATTTACATAGTAATAAACTTGAATTATGTTCTCCAAAGTCAGTAACTGATTTATTTATCACTCAATAATCATACCTTGTGGTTCACCCCCAGATGGAGACAAATTATGCCAAAAAATAGAATGATTCAAATGGCCCCCTCCATTGAACTTAAGAGCAGGTCCTAAAGAAATAACTGATGCAACATCACCTGAAATATAATTATGTCTTAATATTTATAACAATTTAAATATGTAAAAGATAGAAATAATTTTAATGAATTACCACTATCACTATGCTTACTAATTTTATTATTTCTAAAGTCATCTTTTTAGATTTAAACTGATGATGTAAAATCCGGAATCACCACAGTCCCTATGATTCCAGATCTCAGACATTGTGCTATATAACAGACTACTAATCAAAAAAAAAAAAAAAAAGTAAATATACTTTGAAGATATAAAATCTTGATTGTGTTATATTAGGTAGATAAAAAGTTTAATTACAACAATTTACATCTCAGCTAAAAGACAAAATTAAGTCAGATTAACTTTTTATACACAAAAAAATTGCTTAAATTGGGAATCAAATGTATGATTCTTGAATCAATGATTTTGCGGAATAGTTATCAGTAAAACTACTGCCCTACTTGCTTCCTTTCTTTGTATGCTGATTAAAATTAATACAACTCATTTAGTTATTTTCATATAAATACCTATAAAAATTATCTTAAGATAAAAATAAGGAAAATTATCTGAGATTATATTTACAATTACCCAAAATATTTTTGTATACTTTAACACAAATTTATGGTACTTCCTAATTCAAGCAGCCACAGTGTTTTGGCATCAAAGATAGCAAATTTAATTGCCAAATCTGTAGCATGCAAATTTCGCTAAAGTCTTATGATGTGGCCACTTTAACAAAGAAGTACCAATTTCTTTGTAATAAAATTTTTTATATCAGCGACAAACATTTTACTACATTTCTTGAATAACTATTTAAAAAATTACATCTTTTATAAAAAAATATAAATAATTTTATAAAACCTTTTGCAGTAGCTTCAGCTAACTTTTCTTCAGCAATATTCAGATTGTTAACATAAGCAGCATGATGCTTAGAATGATGCAATTTCATTATTTCAGCTGATATGGTAGGTTCTAATGCTCCATAGTCATATGGAAGATCTGGCAAAGTATGCTTACTTAAGCTGACTGAAATCTGTGGACATGCTGTCCTGTAATTAATGCAGAAAGAAATATTAATTTCCTTTCTTTAACAAATTCATATATCATATTAATCAAAACACAGCTTCAAAATGAAAAAAACATCCCTTGAGTGACATAACCACTTTTATCCAGTTATGAGATTTGTTGTCACTTGGTAGATAACATCCTGTTATTTAAAACGAATTTTGGTAAAATCCTAGTACATGGTGCATCCTTGGAGTGATTTTAAAAATTATCACCAACACCAAAATGACCCGTTTAACTATTCATCGTATATGACCCGTTTATTGCTCATCATAAAGTTGCCAAAAGTAGCCAAATCCCTTGTGCACCGGATACTAGGATTAAACCCAAATTTTCTTTGAAGATCTAAATATCATACTGATGCTCCAAAGGTTATGAAAACAAAGAGTAAAACATTTAATTATACAAATAATAAGTGTTGTTTAAATACAATTCTTCCCAATCAGATTCAAAGATCTGTATTTAGTTTGTTAAGTTTTTAGAAGGGCATTCTAAAGGAAAAAATCACCATTTTATACTTCAAATAATAATTATATTTCATCATATAAGTTAAATATAATCATTATAAATTTGCTTTCTGAATTATATCTTGGTTATTTCAGGATTCATAATAAAAATAATTAACACTGGAATTGAAACAGAAGCTAATAATTACAGTCAATTCCCAGTTTACTGGTCTAATTACTATCTATAGTTAATTCAAACTGCAGCTAATCCATGGACAATTAAAAAGAACACATGAAGAAGGAATAGCTCCTGCTATAAATAACAGAAAAATATCATTAAAAATTTACCTGCATTTTCTGTCAGTTTAACCAGGCGAACATATTCATTCAGTTGTGTAAATTAAAACAATATTCAAAGTAAAATGCCCGATTACTAGCATTACACAGCAGGCACTCAAAACATACAAGCTCATCACATGTCAATAACTGAAGATGCTTGAGAAACTACAATAATATTACAATCTTTATACATATTTACATTTTTCTCACAATCCAACTTTGTTTACATTTTTTCCTGTTTCACCGTGTGAAATCTGCAAGTTTCTATCTGCTAACATATAAATTTTGTAACAGATTTCTATTTATTTTATGGTAATCAATAAAAAAAAGCAGTTTAATATTCACATATATATTGATCAACTAAAACATTACGACCATGCCTGTGCAGTGAAAATGCACTCATCAGAATGATACAGATTGTAAATGAGAGAGTGAGAATTATTTAGCAGGGAACATCATTTTGCTAACTGCATGTCTTTGGAATACAAAAGACTGCTGATCTAAGTGACTTTAACCCTCCAAGAGTTATGGTCATAAAAGTCCATATCATATATATTCCATATTTCCCATTCATATCTTTATCTATTCGATTTTGAGTTGGATATATATTGTAGGAAAGGAGTCAAAGTGAAAAGGTCATTTAAGAATTATAATCAAGAAGATACCGCTTATTCATGATATTCAGCGAAACTTTGAAATTTCTGAGGGTTTTTATCCGCATAAAAACACAGCATAAAAAAAAGTAACTCGCAGAGACAATATTTAACAGTGAAAATGCGGTATACATGTCAAAAAATTAATTTAAACCAAACATCTCTCATCACCGACGTGTTTACCCAATAATTGTCCATAAAAGTTATCCGTGAAGAAATCTAGATAATTATAAAATATGACATCTAACAGACTAAAAGTTGCACATATATACATATAATAACAACCTTTTCAGTATACTCATAACATGATTCAAAATCATTGTTATTTTGAAAAACACTTCACAGACGAGAGAGCGAAAATACACTTTTCAGATAGATAGGGTATTTAAAAGTTCTTAGAGCTGTTGCCATAAATAAAAACTTTTCTACCGCACATTGAAATGCACAATAAAAATAAATAAATAAATGTCTGTGTGAATTAAATTTAATAAATCGGAAATCGTCTCTCTCTTAATTGTATTAAAAAAGGCATAATGCATTTTAAAATACAGTAAGGATGTCCTTTCATTACACACACACACACATATATATATATATATATATATATATATATATATTTCGGCACTCCCTTGAAAATTCTTGTGTTATATTTCTTGATACTTCTAATTTTTGTTATCAATTACCCACTTTTTATATATGTTGTGCTAATCATGCATCTTAAAAAAAAAATTTTTTTTTTTTTTGATTATATATATATATATTGCTTTTTCAGGAGAAGAAGAAAGCTCTTCATAACTGGAAATTGATCATCGTGTAATAACACATCAGTGTAATTTTTTGTATTCGGAGACGGATGGAAGATGTGTTTTCGTGGAGATTGTAATCGGATTTTAATGAACATACGGAAAGCTATGCTTGATTAATAATGCATCAAGCGTTTACAATTTTTTTTTTAAATTAATGTGAGATGAAATTAGATGTGTTTATTTATTACCAATGCTGTCCAGTTTTTGGAACTGTTACTTGAGAAATACTGTATTTAAAATGATTGACATTTCCTTGTTGAACGTAACTAAGCTTTTAAGTATGGCAGATTTATCTCATCGCCTTATATTATCATTCATGAATAACTGTAAATCGGAGAAGATAGTATGTGTTTTCAGTATATCTTTTACTTTAGCTTTCGCCTGTTTAATTATATTAGCATCTGTTTTATATTTCAAACAGCCGCTATATTGTACAAATAAGATACATAATGACTTAGGCGATGACTCAGAAAAACCAAAGTATGAACTAAAACCATATGTTCCAAAATTTTCTCAAGATGAAATAAAGATTGTTCCCAATTTCCTTCCTGACTATAATGAAATAGAACCATGTGAAGAATTGATTAGAATTGAAGATGTACCAAAAATCTGGAGTATAAAAACTAAGAATGAAGGAACAGGTAATATATTAGTATTTTAGTATACAATTTTTGTTTTGTTCTCAAAATATCTTTCCCTTACAACTGCAATATATATTTGTTTCAATTAAAATATTAACTACCCTGAACAATATTTTTTTGTTTTTAATGTGCAGTTTATGTTATGCAATTTTATGTGCTGATCGCTGAATTGAAATAAGTCCCCCCCCTCTATCATCTTTATTTTTTTGTGAGGTAACATAAAATTATTTTTTCATGTGTGCATTATTATTGTTTAGTCCTTCATGCAATTACTCAAATACCTTTCATGATGGAAAGGTTTTATCAACAGATTTGGAATCGTGAAGGAAAAAATATCCATTAACTTCCTCTTTAAAAGAAAAACGTAAAATTTTATTGGCTAGTTGGCTATAGCATTATTTAAATTGACTGATAAGTATGGGAGTTATATATATATAAATATGTGCTAATTCAGCTATTACTTATTTTATTCAGTTGGATAACATTTTTGTACTGTGTTGTTGACATTTATTTTGAGGAAGTTAGTTCAGTCAAGACAAGCTTAATCTGTAGGCAGTAAAGTTTATACTGATGTTTTGTTTATTTTTTAATGGTATTCAATACATTCATTTCTGCATTGATATTTTATTAGTGAAGGGGAATGCAATTCTGTTGTTGCACCTAAATAATGAGTTATTAGTTTTTTATGTTAATGTTAAAATTTTTTAAAGCGCTGTTCATGTATATAGTGTAATGTTAAAAATATATAGTCTTCTAGTCATATATAGCCCAGTTTAATATATTGTTGCGTACGTACAGGTTCGTTACGAAATGAATGCACAAGTCCGATGAAAAAGCCTCTTGATCAGGAATAGGATATGCTTCAGGCCACTTGGTGAAGTAATCAATGACAAAGACTATGTATTTGTTGCCATCAGCAGTTCGTGGCAGAGGTCCCAAGATGTCAAAGGTGATACATTCAAAAGGCGCCCCTATGTTGTAACGTTGCAGCTTGCCTCGGCTACGTCTCTTCGGTCCTTTCCGACCTGTACAGGTATCACAAGATCGACACCACTTTTGCGCGTCATCTTTTGCATTATTCCAGTAAAAGCACTCACGAACTCTCTGCAAGGTCTTCATTATTCCAAAGTGACCTCCTGTAGTGCTGTTATGTAGTTCTTTAAGGACATCAGGAATTTGGGATCTTGGAAGTGTCAGTTGCCATCAGAACGTCTTCCCATCATCCGATTCGAATTTCCGTTATAAGATGCCGTTTCGAATGTGAAGTGAATCCCAGAGTGCCCAGTATTGTTTTGTAGGACTATAGATAGAAATGTCCTGCCAGGTAGGTTTTCTGACTGATGACTCCATCAAATCAGTTATGGGTTTAATGTCACAGTCTTCCACCTGGTCTTTCCTGACTTCATCATCACTCCACGGGTATGGATCAGCCGATCTTGATGTCGTAATTTGACGTGCGACTGGACTCAGCAGCTCGTATTTCGCTTCGACCCTGGAACAATATCGACAATTTTCTTGGCAAGGTCTTCTAGACAGGGCGTTGGCGTTTCCGTGTGATGATCCTGTACGATGACGGATAGTGATGTCATATTCGTGGAGTCTCTGTATCCACCTGGATATTTGACACTCCGGATTCTTGAAATTTAAAAGCCAGGTCAATGATGCATGATCGGTGCGGAGCAGGAATTTTCTGCCGTATAGATAGTGATGGAACTGTTCTACAGCTTTGACTGTGGCGAGCAACTCTTTCCTGGTGACACAATAATTCCTCTCCGGTTTAGACAGGCACTTGCTCCAGTATGCCACTACACCTTCTTGGCCGTCTATTTCTTGGTACGAAACAGCACCGACACTTTCATTGCTCGCGTCTGTGTCGAGAATAAATGGTCGGCCGAACTGAGGATACGTCAGGATTGGAGCAGATGTTAAAGCCTCCTTTAAGTTGTTAAATGCATCCTCACATTCTTTTGTCCACAAGAACTTCTGCTTGCTCTCTGTCAGCTTGTGAAGGGGTCTTGTCATGGAAGAAAAGTCCTTCACGAATCTCCTATAGTAGGTGCAAAGCCCTGGGAAGCTTCTCAGCTGATGGACATTTTCGGGACATTTCCAGGATTTAACCGCTGATACCTTTTCAGGATCCCTGCACACACCTTCTGTAGAGATGACATGTCCCAGGTAAGTCATTTCCTTTCGGAACAATTTGCATTTAGCGGGACTCAGCTTCAGATTGGCTTCTTTCAGCTTCTGAAGCACCTTCCTAAGATTTTCTAAATGTTCTTAAAAAACTCTTTTCGATGATGATGATGTCATCCAGGTATATCAGGCAGGCTTCGTAGGAAAGGCCTTTCAAAACAGTCTCCATAAGACGTTCGAATGTTGCCGGCGCATTACACGGTCCAAACGGCATCACCTTGAATTGCAAAAGCCCTTGTCCCGTAGTAAATGCCGTCTTTTCTTGGTCTTCAGGCTGTATTTCTACCTGCCAATACCCAGTCTTTAAATCAAGTGTTGAGAACCACTTGCTTCCAGAAAGAGTGTCTAGAATGCCGTCAGTTCTAGGAAGAGGGTAACTGTCTTTCTTCGTAACCTCATTCAACCGGCGATAGTCAACGCAAAATCTTGTTGAGCCATCTTTCTTTCTGACTAGGATGATGGGAGATGCCCATGGACTTACTGAAGGCTCGATGATATCGCCTTCTTCCATATCTTTTAACAGTGTTCGCACCTCTTCCTGTTTAGCAAACGATAGACGTCTTGGATGTTGCTTGATCAGGGGATGATCTATTCTATGTTGTGTCAAACTAGTTCGACCCACGTCAGAAGACAAGCGGGAGAAAACAACTTGAAGATCTTTAATGACGCGATCGGCAACATTCCTCTCTTTATCGTTTAATTGCGCATTCTGCAATAACTCCGATGTAATGCTCTCTGAGGACACGGATTCTTGGATGTTACTCTTTCTTTCAGCGGTGGTTCCTGGAGTACATGCTGCAACCACTTCACCTTTCTTAATAATTCTCCCCTTCTCAGTTACATTGGCGACTTTCACCAGGATAACCGTTCTGGATAGGTCGACGAGTGTTGAGGCTACTAGTACTCCTTTTGGGCTATTACAGTTATTGGGATATTCTATGATGCCGTAGCGGAAATTTCTGTTTTCGGCTATGGATCCAGGAAGTAAAATTTCTGTTCTTGCCGGTATTGTGATATTGTCTTGTGCTATGATTTTATGGACAGATTTAACTTCTTCATCATTAACTCCAAATAACGCTATGTCCTCAGATGTAGAATGCAATTTGTTAAAGTCCAAAGAAAAAATGTATTTCATTAGAAAGTCCAATCCGAATGTGCAAGAATCAGTGATCTCTGCTACATATGCAGTGTGATGGTAAGCGGCACTTCCAAACGTGATGCTAACATTTACTTTTCCATCAATGTCGATCTTCTCACCGGACACAGTCTCTAGGGTAATACAGGGCGGCGTCCAGATAAGTTTGCTTCCCAGTTGTTGGGCGAAATCTTTTCGGATGATGGTAACGTTGGCTCCTGTATCTATCATCATATTGCAGGGAATTCCATTAATATATCCTATTATGAAAAGTCCATTACTGCCGCCTCTCACTGCAGAAATCTGAAGCACTTTAAATTGGGGCTTTTCATTATCTGGCAACCTCCGTTCCGCGAGATGGCCACTAATTAGTTTCCCTGCTGTTCGTTAGGAGCAGTGTTAACATCCGTACCCTGGAGTGTTCTGCAGTTTCGTCGTACGTGTCCTTCAGCACCGCAGTTCCAGCACTTTACGGTCAGTTTCTTGTCACCAATATTCCGTCTCGAGGCGTTCAATTGTCTAGTTAAATCATCTAGACGAGCAGTGACTTGATCCCCTGGCTCCTGGACTTGAGCAACTCTGATTGGGTGTTCTCGCTCCTACTCCGTATCAAAGCATCGAATTGTCTGGATAAATCATCTAAACGAGCCATCAGTTGATCCATTGGGATCCGTCATCAGTGATCCGTGGACTCGCACAGCTCTGACTGGATGGCGGTCTCGACGGGTGGCTTGCTAGGCTGCCTCAAATTTCATGGCGTACACTAAAGCGCTTTTCAGATCTTTAACATCCACCATTCGCAGTGCTTTCTGTATTTCAGGGTCCCGGATGCCATCGATGAAATATTGCAGGGACAGGATTTCCCTTGTTTCTGTCGGGCACTCTGAAAAGGCGTGATGTGACAGCCTTTCAACAACCGTGGCGAGCTCCTAAAGTGTTTCGGTGGGCTTCTGTTGACGGGATTTTAATTGGAGCATGCTGTAGTCTTTTAAACATTTCTCTCCAAAGCGCCGAAATCTAGCTTTTTTTAGTAGATTTTCGGGAAGCGTCTGCAGGATATCCGCTGCGTCTGCTCTCAGAGAAGCGGCGAGATGACAGGCCTTAGCTTGGGAATCCCATCCATTCGCATCCGCAACGATAGAAAACTATGTCTTATACACTTGCCAGGAGGTCTTACCATCATATGTAGATAGTTTCAGAGAGGGACGAACAGTCATTAATAAAAATTTAAAACCATCTGAATTGCTCCCTGTTGTCGCTACGAATTTCCTCAAAGTATCCACTTCTTTCGCAACGGCTGAAACCCTATCATCAATTTGTTGTTCGACGGCAGAAACTCTTTCTTCTACGTGTTCTTTTACCGAAGAAACTCTTTCTTCTATTTCATCTTTCACCGAAGAAACTCTTTCTTCAATTTGATCTTTTACCGAAGAAACTTTGGTTGATCTTTGGATTATGGTAACTTGGCGAAAATTTGGCGACCAACTCTCCTACAGCAACCTTCTATTTTTTTTTTCCCGCCGCCATTTTGTCTTCACTAAGTAAAGACATATTTCTTTCTTTTTATCTTACTGAACACTTTTCCAACAATCTTACTAGCCGAATTACACTTATGCTAGAAATTTTATCTAACAAAACTGCTTAATCATGACAAATATTCAACTGCAAAATT